TCCACCGGCGAGCGGATCTGTTCTCCGCTCGCAGCAGTGGGCACCTCATCACAGGTGGCCAGTGGGCACGGTTACGGGGGGATGAAAGTGACCTGTAACCCGTAGGCGTTGTACAACCTGCGTAACCCGGTCGGGCGCACCGTTGCCAACCTCCAGGGTCAGGCAGGGTTCGGAAACGCCGGCCCAAACCCAGTTAAGGGACATTTGGATCTGTGCTTGGTTGCAGGCGAGGTTGTCCAAGCCCGAGAATGTCCATGCCTTGCCGCGAAAACTATGTACCAGCCGGTGTCCACAGAGTTCACGACACACCGATTTTTGGACATTCGCGGCATACATAAAAAAACAAAGTTTCAAGAGTGCCGGCATTTGTAAGCCCGATTTTATTGTTGACTACCGTTAGACGCGCAAAACTAAAAACAGTACACCCCCCCCTATCTCCGCACCAGCACTATTTTCAAAGGAATCTCCTCCTCGCCGCTGATCTGCAACTGANTGTCCATGCCTTGCCGCGAAAACTATGTACCAGCCGGTGTCCACAGAGTTCACGACACACCGATTTTTGGACATTCGCGGCATACATAAAAAAACAAAGTTTCAAGAGTGCCGGCATTTGTAAGCCCGATTTTATTGTTGACTACCGTTAGACGCGCAAAACTAAAAACAGTACACCCCCCCCTATCTCCGCACCAGCACTATTTTCAAAGGAATCTCCTCCTCGCCGCTGATCTGCAACTGACTGCCCACCGGTCACCACGCGAGTAGCCCCTCACCCCTTCGTGAGTGCTAATTATCTTGCAGCTGTCGCGTTTTGGGGCCTCTGTTCTTACACCACAAAGAAAGGCGGGTTCGTTCTTGTTCGTTACACCACGTCGGGCCTGAGCACGCACGTGTTGTTATTATTTTTATGTGGTCAATTTCCTTGATTTTGATTTTTTTCGAGGCCGCATTTCTTAACTGCCAAGTTCTTAAGTGTGAGCGCCACCTTATCTTCTGATCATGATGTATTGCCGGAAGTAACATCGACATTGGCCTACTCTATTTGATACANTGGGGCCTCTGTTCTTACACCACAAAGAAAGGCGGGTTCGTTCTTGTTCGTTACACCACGTCGGGCCTGAGCACGCACGTGTTGTTATTATTTTTATGTGGTCAATTTCCTTGATTTTGATTTTTTTCGAGGCCGCATTTCTTAACTGCCAAGTTCTTAAGTGTGAGCGCCACCTTATCTTCTGATCATGATGTATTGCCGGAAGTAACATCGACATTGGCCTACTCTATTTGATACATATATATTGCTGCCTAGAAACACGCACGGCAACGATCGGGGGGCAAAGCAAGGACTGAGAAAAAGAGCGAGAGAGAGTAGGCGATGATATACTATATACATACGCTGCCTCTCTCTGTAAAGGTCAATACGACAACACGTACGTACGTAAGTCTGTCTCCTAGAAATATATAATAATAGTGGTCGAATATGGTATTATTACATAAAAAATCTCTACTGAAAAGAATTGCGCGTTCAGCACTAAATAATTCTATATACTTCGTATATATGTTGAAAATGCTGTGGAACATAAAAACTTAGCTGACCCAAAACTTGCCATTGAATGATTGGTAATGGAAGACATTACTCGGAGCTTCTGCTTTTTGCGTGGGGAGGAAGGCAGAGAAAGTGTGCTCTTATCGGCCGCGTGGGTGGTGTTGCCACAATTGTTCCCGTCCCCATCACTATCCCCGGTGTTTGCCATCCGGGTTGGGTTTTCGTCGCTTGGCAACGACGTTGTAAACCAAGCACCCCTCTCGGTGTTTGCCATCGGGATTGGGTTTTTGTCGCTTGGCGGCGACGTTGTAAAACAAGCCAATTCATTTCGTGAACTCGGCAACCAGGTTACCGTTTTTTTGTACCTCTGTTTCTTTTTGGCGGTTACCATAGTGGTGGTCGAGTAGATCATGTTGTGCGGGGTCGAGAACCCCACAGGTGGCCAGTGGGCACGGTTACGGGGGGGTTAACGTGACATGTAAACCCTAG